CTCTTTGTATCAGTTTTAGAGGAAAGGTGCGGAGTCCCATTAGCTTATGCTGCCCATTGTCAGCGCGATGGAATCACGAATAGGTGAGCCTGAAAGATATCTGTCCTATCTGGAGAAGGCAGGCCCATTAGATAAGCATCACTGAAATATCCAAACACTTTCATACTCCACGATGTACGGCTAAAACTAAAGCTAAATTTACTCGATGTGCAACAAACACTTTCCTACCTTCCTTGCTCTACATTCACGACACCGTGACACGCTGACTGCCTCGGTGGCATGAGTTCATGGGGCGTGATTCACTAGCTCGCCGAAATTGACGTTTTCCCAGCATTTCATTCGAAATAGTACATGATAGCTTGCCCAACTGAAAAGTGAAGGGGAGTTCAAAAGACGCTACAGAGCACAAATACACTCCATCCTCTTGGCTTTGCTTTTTATTCCTTCACGAGTAATGGAACAGCGAGCGATGTATGAAGTTCTAGCCTTTTGAAATGCGTATCTGTCAACCAAGGAAGATTCTTCTGACCACTGATTGATTTGGAATATCACATGGACTTAATGGCAGGNCCCCCCCCCCCCCCCCCCTCCCCCGTCCTAAAACTGTCGTCTCATTTGCACAGGTACGAATCGTGCACATTCACCTGAACCAAGCTTATAGCAAAGTATCTAAATGAGAATGCAGTCATGACTTTATTTTAATTGTTTTCACTAATAGCAGGTGACAATCAGTTGAACGGAAAAGCAATGCTTTTTACTCTGCCCAGGAAAAGCCGTCGTCAGAATGTCCAAAAGAGAGATGGCTTCAAAATGCTCCCTATTAGGAACCTGATTCACTTGATGAATTCAGGCCAATATCCGGTTACATGAATATTTGTCCGGATAAGTTACACGAGACGAAATCACATAAAATCTGGGGATGGAGAACCACTATCAGGCATGAGCTCATTCACGCGCTAATATTCTCGCAAGAGCTGCTCTCACTGTTTCCAGGAACTGGAAGACCTCAATGGTACGAGTGTTGTCATTATAACTAGAGGCCACATTCGAAGATTTTCTCAGGCGATTTCGAAATCCAACACCAGCTGATTTGGAAAATGGTGAATATAGTTGAGAAGTGTGCTCTAGACTCTAGGAACGAAGTTTGGTATGAGAAATAGCTTATTAACACGTTGACGACAATGTCGCGCAATGGTGCGCGACAGCCAGTCTGTCTCATGAAACTATGTCGCGCAATGCTGCGCGACGGTGTATTCTTCAATTAAAGTGTGTGTGCTCGTTCCGTTTTTTGTGCAACTTTTCAGTTACGGCTTATAAGTGTCGGACATAGCACACGTCACCTATTAAGTTAGTTCCGAGACAAATATTTCACTTTTATTAGCAATTGACAATCATGAAATGTTTGGAAACAATCTAGGCAACAAACTTTATTACACTTGCCGCATTTTGACTAAGTCCTCTTGGCCAGGCTCCTTGCGGTCGACCTTCCTGATGTTGCACAGATCGAACTATAGCAGTCGGAGCAAGCAGTTCTTCAGTGAAAAACAGCTCATAAAGTTGAAGAGGCGTCCTGCAGTTATCCACCTCTAGATC